ATTTCTGGGCATCTTATAATTTTAGTGTAAAGGCGAAGAAGGATTCGCTCCACCGTGTTTGTGAATCCCTTACACAGTTTCATATGGATGTGACTATTGAATTCGAGATGTCATGCGATTTCCAGGATAGTGTAGGCATGATTGGTTTTGAGGTCTGTATCGGTGCGCGGAGGTGGATGCTGCCCGGAGAGTGAGTGCGTCGGCTATGGAATCGACCGCCTCATTACTACCGACGCCTGTTTCAGCCATATAGATGTGAGACTCTACCCAGGTGATGCTGCGGAAAACGCCGTCATCAGCGCCCTCGCGGACGTGCTGGCCATAAACGGGTAGTGCAAAGCGAGCCATCCGCAAACGAACGTGCATAGGCCCTTCTCTTTCGTTGGCCTTGAGGCGAGGTTTCGTGATTAAGGACCTGGAAAGCTTCTTACTTCAATCCAACCTCGCTTCAGAAAAGTAGGAAGCTCATCAAACGAACTGGGGGTACAATGCGAAAGTTATTTCAGTTAATTCGGCGTACTGCGACATGCACTTTAAATGCACGCGAACATCGCATGACATCGAGTTACAGGCAAGCACTGTGATGTTCGCTCTATAAAGCCTAAATTTGTTAAACTTGGGAATACAGATGATGCCAAAACGATTAAGTGCATACACGAGCAAACTATTTTACGATTAGTGGTAGGATGTTCACTTTATTCGGCACAATTTCGCCCTTGCAGTTGCATATGCTTCTTTGGTTTCTTGCTTCCGGTGCGTTGAACTGTTTTATTACGCATTAGAGAAGGTTCTGTTTACGGTTGTCATCCGTTTGTATATACTGCGAACGGGCATGCATGCATGTGTACTTTCTCGGTGTACTACGAAACGCAAAACCAAGGCCTCCGAGATAGCTACGACAATCGCGGAGACCAATGGCAAGAAAAAAAAAAACTCATATTCGTGGCAAAGCGGTACGACATGTACACGGCTACCAGAGAACAACCAAGAACAGATGTGGATCGTCGGTGAAATCCTGAACATCCCCGTTCTTGTCGGGGTTGTCTACTTAGGTGTGACTCGAAGACTGAATGACACCAATTGTCAAATATTACATTGCATGCATCAAAGACGACGTGACATGCTGGGAAATGGGGAGATAGGTGCTCCTGATGGGGGACTTCAAGGCCACATACAGCCTTTCGATGGACACGAGGATTCCAACAGGTCTCTCATGCTACAATTGGCAGAATATTTATTCCTCGAGGTGGCCAACTTGCGCAGTGACTGTCATGGAGTTTTTACATGGTGCGCGAGGAACAACAAGTCTACCATCGACTACGTCCTCATGTCACGCTAACTATCCGTGCATACGTTTCGGGTACATGTCGACGAAGGTGGCGACGACAGTCTTGGGAGCGACCATAATCCATAAAGATATCGTTCTCAACGTCCGCATTTCGACAACGCATCTATGCAGCGTCAGCCGCGAGCGCCCAAAAGTACCCACGGGCAACTGCTTACGAGGCTGTTGCGCAACAATTTGAAAAAAATTACAGTCTAATCGCCTCTGGGCACGTACGACGAATATATCTCGGACCTCCGTCGGATCATGCAAAAGCATGAAGTCCTCCTGAAGATGATGAAAGGGTGACAACACAGGACCTGGAGGGACAATGAAGTGAAGGGGGCTCTCGAAGCACGACGGGCCGCGAACAGAGCTCATCGGCGAGCTGTCAAATCTCTCGGTCCCACAGAAGCACAACAGAGCTGGGTCAATTATTTTAACTGCAAAAGGGAGATGCAACAGATTGTTCAGCGAAATATCATGGTGAACAATCAACAAATTCTGCAGTCACTGATGACCGCCGGAAGAAACTGCATGTGCAAATTCTGGTCATACAGGGCATCGCTCAACCGCAAAGCGCCCATGTGTGAACTTCGGGACGACAACACGATAGAAAATTTAGAAGATATTGCGCGACATCTCACCGATCACATTCGAGGGATATACGACAGCACTGAACCTCACGACTCGCTCACTTCTCCCACAGCATGTGGGACTGCCAATCCCAAAGACAGTCCATGGAAAGTGACACGACTGACTATCGATCGCGCTACTTCCAAAGTTAGATCCAAGACAGCAAAAGGCTTGGATGGCATTGTCACAGGACTCGTGAAGTGCCTTGGCGAACGAGCCCGGGAACACCTGGCGACGCTCTACACAGGCATCATTCAAGGGGACCCGATACCAGCTGACTGGCTCCAAAGTCGTGTGTGTCTGGTGCCGAAACTAGGAGGAGATGCCAGCTTCCTCAGTGACCACAGAGCCATTACAGTAACCAGCATTAGGTGCAGGGTATTCACCCAGGTGCTGAAACTCTGGATGAATGGATGGGCAGAGGTGAATGGGCTCCTCTCTGAGCTTCAAAATGGCTTCAGGGAACGACGACGCCTGGACGACAACCTGTTTGTCCTCACACAGTCCATTGAGATCACTAGAATGGAGTCCCGTGGTCTGGTGGCCTGCTTTTTGGATGTGGCGAAAGCGTACAATAGTGTTCTACACGATTTACTGCTCAGCTGCATGCAGAATATCGACATGCCTCCAACGTGGATCGACACTCTCCAGCGTCTCTACAGCAACAACATGGTAATTGCGACTTTTGGCCAGACAAGTACGCAGCCAGTGTTTGTTCGCCGAGGTCTGAAACAAGGGTGTCCGCTCTCCCCGCTACTGTACATGCTTTACACTCCGGGGCTGCAGCGGGACCTCATTGGTTCAGGCCTTGGCTTTTCGCTACGGTTCCAATATGACGGGTCGCCACAGGTCTGGACACTACCGCGACTGGTCTTCGCGGATGACCTGGTGCTTTTAGCGGAAAACACCGATAAGCCGCAGAACCTTATAGACATATGCACCCACCCCCTGGCGTCACTGAAACTGACGTTCAATGCGAAAAATTTGGCGGTGCTACGTTTTTCCGGTCCAGCGGACGAACGCGAGCCGGTGCTACTGAATGGCTAGCCGATCCTTCACAGCACCGAGTACCGATACCTCGGTGTGACACTTTGTGATAGGGAGTGCTAAGACGTCCACGAGGCCAAGATGAGAAAGTTGTCACAACGAGTGATCGGCACCCTACGGAAATGCTGCCTGTGGGGTTTCAACCGGTTTGTAATTGTACGCGAGCTATGGAAGGCGGTACATGTGCCTTGCCTGACTTTCGCAAGCGCGGCCCTGTGCCTATCGACGAGCACCCGCGAAAGGCTTGAGCGTGCGCAGAAACAGGTGGGCCGCATGGCCCTCGGCTGTCATGGAAGGGTGGCCACGGAGGCAGTCCAGGAAGACATCAGCTGGTCATCATTCGAAGCCAGGGAGGCGTGCAGCAAAATAGCATTTGAGGCCCGCCTTCGGTGTCTGAGCGACTCGTGGTGGGCCAGGCGCATTTTCCGGTACCTCTCCTTCAAGGGTATTCGGACCCAGTGGTCGAATAGAATTCACCGGCTGCGTGGGAGATTCGGCTTCTTCGGAGAAACAGACAGTGGCTCACCCGAAGGCCTCACACCACGTTTGGTGCGCACTCAAGTCCAAGAGGTATAAAGCTCCCAATGGCGATCAGGAGTGCTGCGTAAATCTACCCTGCGGTTGTATGGCAAATACAAGGCTGAACTAGGCAGGGAAAAAATTAATCACAACAGCGTAGGCAGTGCTCTGCTGTTTGAGGCACGTGCAGGAGCGTTGCGTGCGCTGACGTACCATCGTCTTTTCGATCAGGACCCACAAATTGAAGCTGCTATCTGTCGCTGCTGTTCCGAAACGAACGAGATGGCTGAGCACCTGATTCTGAATAGCGCCCGTCTTTTTCCACGGCCAGAAGAGGGCTCCACTCTACCTCAAGCGCTTAGATTTGCAGCAGAAGATCATGACACCAACGACGCCACTGCCGTTGCGACAACAAAGGCTCGTCTACAAATGTGGTGGATGGCTACGATGCGATAGGGACTGACAGGACAAACAGGGCACTTATATAGTGCAAAAAGACTTATGTGACAAGTGTGTGCCCCGCTGTTTCTTCCGAGACTTTCTATTTCTCGCCTTCTTCTTTCTTCTTTTTTTTTCTTTTCTTACCGGCTAGGTCACACTATCTGTGACCACCCGATTCAAAGGGAACAGTCACCTATCATCATCATCATCATCATCATCATCATCATCTTCATCACTTCAAAGTCGTACGTCTATAGAACTGAGCAGTACACACAGCACAAAAATGCATGGCATGCTTAGTTGGTTCATAAAGTGAAAACTTGGAAGCGCGAAATCCACGATTTGTATTTGTGTGTTGCTTCCTGTCTCCTTCGGTTTTGCGGTTCCAACGTTTAATGCAAAGCGCAATTCTCGCGCCTTCAAATAACATCGTATAAGACATCAGAAATATTTCAGCTAATAAAACTCAGACGTGCACCAGTACCGACGGATATTGCACTTGCGTTTCAATACCAGGTGCTTTCAGATGCTAAGCTGCTTAGTTCCCTGCCTAACAAAGAAAGAGATTTTCGTATATTGAACTATACTTGGGCCAATATAGAAACTATAGGCTCTCTATGATCCATTTTTTTTCTGACAAGGCAGAATGGCCCTGGTAGGCATCACATTTTATTTTCAACACGCGAATCACAGTCGTTATCAAGGAAGAATGAGTTTAAATGCCAATAATGAAACCAGCACAGTTGTCAGTTATTGTAAAGCACATCGTCTCATCCGACTTATAAGAAAAGTGACAATACCAATCAAATCAAGAGATAGCCCCTCATCAAAGCTTGGTGATTCTCATAAATTATTGAAGGATTCTCTGTTCCTATGATACTTATTTTTATTGCTTCTGTACTGCTAATTAAAAAAATCAAACCGCTTCTTAAGTGTGGAAAGGGTTGCTCGTTTCTTGCTGAAAAAGCACTGCTATCAAACTGCTGCTTATACTCAGCTTCCTAACAATTTGTTTTATTCATGTCACTTTCAGGTGTCCGGATGTCATCGGGAGATGTGGCCATGCCATTTGCTGCCTGCCGGGAGAGAGGTACTTCTTTTCTGCCTTTTTTATTCTTCTTGACAATGAACGTATTCATTTGAGCAACGTGAAGAGCAAGGTTCATCAAATTGAGGTAGATAGCGCTGAATAGAGGATATTGGTTTCATGGATGACAAATTCACCTCTAGTAAAAACTGAGTTACGCAATTCACTACAACCATATTTGTGCGTTTTGGCTTATTACTTTGTTCACTATATTATACTGACTTTAGCTATGTAATTAATGAGCGAGACCCCTTCAAAATGGGAACAGTGTTACTGCAAATTGTTCAGTGCAGAAAAATGTTTACGCAAGTGATAAAATAGTCATAACCTAATAAAATTTGTTGTTATGCTAGTTTGATTTTCATTATACTGTAACTACATTTACCCCAACTTCCAAGCACCTCAAACACTCACAAATACACACACTTTCCCATTCAGGAAACACACAGCTATGCACAACCTGTTTTTTGTATGGAGCTTTAATATTCGATATAAGAGTGAAGAGAAGAAGTACCAGATAGCTGTGTGTGCACGCCTGCTGCCTTCTAGAGTTCAAATTTACATACTGCAGAGGGAACGAAATGGTTTGTTCAAAATAGGACAACAACGCGTGAATATGTGTATGGGTTGAGCGACGTTCAGTTGCCAATAAAATAGTGCGACATGATCACTGGCGTTGCAGCAACGCTGATACGTTTGCTGAGTGAACGTCTAAAACACCGCTCAATCATTTGAAACTTCCCGCGTGTTTTTGAAGCGGCTTTAGGCAGCACTGCTTTCTCGTTTTTTGCAATGTTTTGCTGCCATGACTGCGCAAGGTGATCTTGGGGCATACCAAGGTGTTCGATAATTTTTGACCATCCTACATATCATCTTTGATAAGGCTGTGTTTTTCGTGTCTATCAGAACAATTAGGCCGCAAGCATGTAGACATCAAGTTGGGGAGGCTCCCAGTACTTGAAAAGTTTGGTTGCAAACGTATTGCGCATGTTTTTAAATAACAACACCCCTTGAAGTGAATGCTTGGCACAGTACTAAAGATCGGGTATTTTTGTGGCAGCAAAAGTCAGGTTTTTGTGAACAGCTGCTGCTGTGTTTTCATCTTCACATTTCAAGTGGCCATCAATGGCGAAAAAAAGACACGAAAGGGATGCACGGAACCTCACTTTGCACATTTCCTTTGCCGTTGGTGGTTCTGTACGTTACTGGAATTGGTTTTAACGCGTTGGTATTCTCAATCCTTAGAGTTACGGGAATACCACGTGAGCTGCGAGGAAGGCCAAGTAGAGATTTGATATTCAGGAAGTGTAAAACTCATGAGTGCAAATAATGCGTGGCACAACTCCTACTTAGAGGTAGAGCATCAGCTTCGCGTGCAAGCGGTCGGTGGTTCGAATCAAGCGCTAGATAATTTTCAAGCACTTAAAAAGCAATATCCTCGAGGTGAAGGGATTTCAAAAAAAAAACAGCAGGCGTGCCGACTCAATCTCGGCAACGGCCGGTAATACACTCCCACACCATAGAAAGACTGGACACCCTACCTCGCACATAAATACACCAATATTACGTGGCCCTCAGTCTCCAGAACTGCAAAGCACCTCACCAAAGTGGCAACCAGACCTACGACGTGGTGGAGAGCGCTAAGAATTTCTGGGTCCAGAATAGCCGAAATTGTAATCTGAAAAAAGGCCATGCCCAACGCCTTACGTTATCTAGTAGGGCGAGTCTAGCTGTGCTTTTGGGAGAATTAGAGGGTGTACAAAGGGATATACAAGAGCCTAACGGAGGTAGAAGGGCACATGAGGCTTCCACACTGCTGTAGAAGGGACACGACCTATGCAATTGCGGCTTAGATTGGAGAACTAGGTTTTGTGGTTCCTTATCTACAAAAACGTTGCGGTCAACACGGTTGAATGCTAAAGTTTTAGTGGGAAGGTCGCAAGTATGAGAATTAACTTTAACAAGAAGTAAGCATTTGGTTGAACGCTTCACGTAGACGTAGATTCGGCTACGAGTGATTAGGAAAGACAGAGCAAACTGTACCGGAAGGCAAGTTTAATGCCAAGCTAGGTAAGAAGCAGGCTGGATACCATGAAGTGTGGAGAATCGGCATCGGCTTTCAAAATGGCACAGAAATAAACTAATAAATCACAAAAATATACACTTTCTACCGAAAAGAGGCTAACCTTAAGATGCGGAAGATTAGAAATAGCAAAAATAAATAAAAAGATCTTGAATACGTGGGCAGACGCAGACATCGTGAACGATGTAGAAGTAGTGGGGAAGAATCGATGTGGTAACCATAGAATGTTGGCGTTTCGAATTAACGTAGATTTATTAAAAGCAACACAAAACTGACACGCAAAAAGGCAATTGATGAGATCCAGCTGAAAGAAAAAGTACTGGAACTTAGTTTCACTTTACAATATATTCGCGGCTAGATACGAGGAAAGTGACATATAGATCATTACCACAATCAGCGATCATCTGCCTAGTCTAATCAAAGAGTGTGTGATGGAATTCGAGGTACAGTCACTATACAAGACACTGGCAAGCTATAGTATCAGACGAGAAAGCTCCTTAAGAAACGGAAGATATGAATAGACAAGTACAGCTAGTGGAGTTTTTTGTTTAGCAAGGCAAAGCATGGAGAGAATCGATCATCCAGTTAAAAGCGGAAGGAGCCTAAAAGCTGCAAAGGAAAAACTGCATAGGCAAAGATGAGATGTAGGGGTACATTATGCGACAAAGAACGCAAGGTCTCTACGGATAAAGATAGGATAGTTGTAATTGCTGTGGATTTTTACTCAGATCTGTACAGCAGCTGAGGCATATTGAGATATAAGGTAAGAAGCAGTAAGAGACCATAGGAGTCGGACACCACAGAGAAATTAAACAGGGAAATTAAAGAAAGTCATACAGGGAATGTGAGCAGGTAGAGCCGCTGGAGGGGAAAAGGTATCAGAAGAGCTGTGGATGCATTGAGTTAGAAGAACGGGTGACTCTATATACCAAGTTTTTCTTGACAAGAAGGGTATCAGGATTTTAAAGAATACCTACATATTAATCCATGAGAAGAACATTTCAAGAATTTAAAAAATTACAGGCTGATCAGCTCCTGGTTCGTTGTCTACAAGCTATTTGCAAAAAATAGCTAATATGTCAAGAGTAAACTTTACTTTATTACACTAAAAGACGAGAAAAGTTACATGTTTCCTAGAGGGTACTCAACAATATACCATATTCATACTGTCAATAAGGTGATGGAGGAATGCACGGAATATCACCAACTCTCTACATCGCCTTAAGACATGAGCAGTTATGCAGAAACTGAGAGATCAAGGCATCTATGAAGCCTATATAAACCTACTGGAACATTTCTATAGTGAAAATAACCCCAACATAGCGTTTCATAAATCAAGCGACTGAATGCAATGAAAGAGGGTGTGGGGAAGAGAGACACGATCATTCCAATGCTAATAACTGCATCGTTAGGAGGTTCTACGGCCCTAAATTAGGAACAGTTAAGAATACGAGGTAATAAAAAGCATCTTCGAAACCTGCTGTTGGCTGATAATATTGCACTGATGAGTAACCCACGGACGAATTAAAGCTCCTGATACAAGAACTGCAGGAATAGCACAATAGGAAGTAAAAAACTTGACCTGCATAAAGCTAATGCGTGAAAAAGCAAAATAATTGCTAAACCATTTAGGTTGGTGCAGTGTTGAATAGGGTCTGTTTGCGGGCGTAAGGCAGAGTTCGTGTACCTATCTGCCATAGATCAGGTGCTTCTGATCGCTACCACTGCTTTTTCATCAGAAGTCAACTGCACTTTTCCGTTTTTAAATTTAGTTATCCAATTTTTCGATATATACCTAAGAGAAGCATAACGTCCTCTGATTAGTAATACTACCAATAATAACACACTACGACGAGATGCTAGGTAAGAGTATCGCGAATGTATACATTTGCAGTGTGATGGGTCCAACGAATTATTCGAGGGGAAGAGGGCAGTCGCTTGAAGTAACGAGGGAGGTGAGGAGCTGGGTCCTGCGTTTCTCATTTTTAGTGGCAAGAAAACCTCGTCATAGCGTAAATACTGCTAATGTGTGCTCACAGCGGTCCCACTGAAATGTTCTAATTAGTGATAGGAGATGAACATCAAGCGCTGAAGACGTGGTTGGGTGGGATGAAAAAGGCCTCGAATGGGGTGATTGTCTTTATTGCCTCCCCCCCCCCCTCTATCTAGATTCTCCATGATGGCAGTCTATATCCACAGTTCCCGTTACCGGTCATGGGAGTTTGAGCCAACATATCAGTGTGGAATTCTGGTCCCACGGGAGCCATAATTTCAGGAACTACTGGCACTGTGCTTAATGATTGGTGGTGATAGATGCGTAATCAAGATAAATTGTTGGCCACAGTGGTGGAATTCTGGTTACGATGCTCGGCTGTCGACATGAAGGTATCAGGCAAGATACAGGCCGCAGCGGTCACATTTTAATGGAGGCTACATGCTAAAGGAGCGTCGACTAAGGGATGCCTTTCATCGTCAGGTAGCAGTTATTGGTGTAAACTTCCGGAACATGCCAAATTGGTGTGCCGAAAACACGGTGCAAGAATACTTTAAGTGAGCGAACTCTTGACTATCCACTGCCCGATAATGTTCTGCTTGGAAGGTGGCCGAGAGATGGCGCTGCAAACTTTGCCCAGCTTCCCCCTCCTTTTCAGTGTAGGAAAGCCCCATGACTTAGGGTAGCAGCCGCAACGCAATAATTTATCGTCGATTGTGGCTATAAACCATTCTAGCCACTATTCGCAGCTTCCAGGTAGAGTGGCGGCGCAGAGCGGTGACGGCGGGAAGCTCTGTTGAGATGATTGAAGTGTTGGACTTGCTTCAAACAGCAGATGTTGCTGCTTGTTTTCCCGCATTTGAGGTAGTTTTTGAAGGTTGTGAATGGCCTCAATAATACCCTAAGCCTTTGAGTTTTTCAAGTTGA